TCGTTGTTAAACCATATTCATCAATAGCCCATTACGATTAAGTAGACAATTAAATCTATATTTTAATTCAAACTCACGCGTTTCTTTTTTCTACAAATATTTTTCTCGAGTTTAGACCAAAATTTCAAGTCTGAATATTCATTTTTTATTATATATTGGTAATTGCTGTTATATATTATTGGTAACTGTGTTATTTTAATCTAATTTATGTCGGATCTCTTAAATTTTAAGCTGACAACTTCATTTTTTTTCCATTTCAATTTTTTTATCAAGTCACTCAATTAATTATTTACATTTCAACTTAGTTCTTAGATTTTACTATTAATTGCTAAATTGATTTAGTTGAGTACTTAAATGGTCATTTTAAGATTTGATTAATGAGCATTTTGAAATTTTACTTTGGTAAATATACTATGCATATAAATACAAGATTTTCCTACAAATTACTAAAGATGTGTTAGTTATTTAGATATCCACAATTGTTTCTGAATTTGCATTCCTTATTAGTGGTTGAATTCTTGATTCTTTTAGGAGTTCGTTGAGTGAAAATATGATTGAAATTGTGATTTGCCCTAAAATTGATTCCACATTAACAATAAATCTATAGTAATTCGTTAGTTTTTGGATGAGGTAGGAGCATTTGATTATCTATAAAAAGTCATAGAATGTATTATCATATTTGATATTATCATATTTGATCTTTCTATTCATTTTTTTATTAATTGTTTTGTATCATTTAACTATAATCAATGAATTCATATATAACATTATTATCTTTATAGAGGGAATATATTATGTGTTATAGTTGTAGATGTTGTGCCAATTATTATCGATTCAGTGATTAAAATGTTTCTAGCATGCTGTTGCATTATAACGATTTGAATTATAGAAATTTGGTTTGTAATATTTTTCATGGTATTATTTATATTTTAATGTGAAATTTTATATTAATATTTGTAATTTAACTTATTTTAAACCAAATCAAACAGAAAAATAGTTTGATTTGCTTTGATTTAGAAATTGAAAATGGTTTGATTTGATTTGAAAAATTTCTAACTGCTTTAAATGACTTAATTCGAAAATTTGTCACAAACCACCCAAACCAAACCGTGTTGACCCCTAGTATATATTACAATTACGTGACAAAAGAAATTTACAATGTCAGATGCCTATTGCTACACGTCAATCGTCATTGCCACTTTTAGTAAATATGCACAATAGACCAAGGACGAAGCCTCGTACAATGATAAACACACTACTTGGATACCCTCTGGGTCGAGATGGTCTCATCGAGCTCCTTGCCTTTTTTTTATTTTTATTTTTAAATTTCCACGAGTTTGTTCGACATCATTTTACCCACATTACACAACATTTCTTTTCGCATGGGTTTGGTCTTCCCTAAATTGTTTGTTCTTTTACTCGATTCGGAGATCACATACTAATGCACTCTTTTAGCTAAGTGTTGAGTCGGGAAATTTCGACATTTCTCTCTCGTGATTTTATGCTATTTAAAATATGCAAGCAAGCTGAGTAAAAGACAACATTTTAGGTGGCCCTTAGCAACCTTTTCTCAGCTTCGAGATGGAATCGTATCAAAAGCAAGTTGTATTGTACTATTTTTAATGCATTCAATGTGTGGGTGAAAAGAGTGTTCTCTTTAATGTGCCTCTATTCCAGGTTCATTTTTATTTCATCAAAATAAAATTTAAAATAGTGAATTTTTTAATATTGTGTGGTTAAAAAGTAAAAAAATAAATAAATTTAAATTTACATGCAAAATATTTTATTGTGAGAATATTAATTGCAAATAAAGTTGAGAAAAAATGAATTTTAAAAGGGAAAATTTCATAAGTAAGATTTTAAGTATCATACATTTCAAAATTAAGAAAACAAATTTCAAACTTAAAAAATCAAATTTTTATTAAATTTTATTTATGATTTAATTAATTAATTAATTGATTAAATATAATTAGGTCACAGATCAATACAATTTGGTCACAATTAATGATTTAGTTATTTAATTATTATTTTTTTGGTCACAGATCAAAACATTTATGTCACAAATTATTTTACGATCACAATTCGAAAATTTTATAGGTCACAGTTTGTTCATCGGTCACAAATCAAGAAAATTATAAATCACGATTTATTTATTGGTCACAAATCGTAGATTTTTTTTTAAAGTCACGACTTATTATGCGGTCACAAATTATTGAATTATCAGTCACAAATTAACAATTTCTTATGTCACACGTTATTTCTTGGTCACAATTTATATTTTTAATTGGTCATATATTGTTTATTGATTACAGATTATTCAATTTAATGGTTACAGTCAACCAAATAATTTGTGACTATCACCAACACTTGTGACCACCATCTCACAACCATCGTCGTCGTCAAAACCACCACCACCATCACTAACTCCCCATAGTTGGACAGTTAGTCATGAATCTCCAAATAATGAGTAACAAACATTTTCTTACTACATTGTCACCACAATTGCAACCCACAAGCACCAAACCACTATCGCTGCCACCGTTACCACCATCGCCATCGCATCCGCCACACCACTACTACATAAATACTACCCTGACGTTGCACCTTCGCCTCCAACACCATCTTCTCTAAACAGATCAAATAAAAAAAAATTGAAAACTTCAGCACCATTGAGGACGGTACCAACACCGGTCCACCACCCACCACTGCTTGAAACCATCACCTTCCGCCACAATCATAAACTACTACAAAAACCACCTCTTGTGACCACCGCTAGCACCACTGCCCCACTAAACCATCACCCCCACCATAACCACAATCAACACAACCTAAACACATAACACAAATGCGCGGCCAGCACCACCATTACAGTGCACCACTGGTGGAATGAAGTCGTCAGAGAAGTGGTAGCGTCGTGCAAACTGAGCGTCGCGACTCAGATCTTGCTGGATCAGTATTCAGAGTTGGTCGTCGGAGTAGCGACAGCGTCGCGCGAACTAAGCGTCGTGACTCAGATCTTGCTAGATCAGTCCTCAGAGTCGGGTTGTTTTCGACGATGGTGTCTTGGGGGATGGAGAGAGATAATGAAGAACGGGCGATGGTGGCGTCTTCACGATGACCGGCGACGGCGGCGTCTTGAGGGTAGAGAGAGAATGAAAGAAATGTTGATAAAAGTATTTAGGGTTTGTTATGTTATATAAAGGAGTATATTAGTAAAATATTTATTTTATAAAAATATTGATTAAAATAAATTTTCTGATTATTGAAATACGAAAATTTGAGTCTGATTTTAGAAGGTTGAATAATTAAAGTATGGTTTTGTGTAATTTCCACATTTTAGAAACCATGGGCTTAGTTATATTAGTAACGAATTTTTTTTTTTTTAATCTTTTTTACTTTACTTTCAAGTACAATCTAATATGATACATATTGTTTTATTTTATGTTAGAATTATATTATGACATGGAAAATTAAAAGAACCAACATCTCTCTCTCTTCATTCAGATATTTGATGATAAGGATATGTTTGATGTATATTTTTTTATAATAGATTTCGTAAAAAAATGATTTTTGAAGAATGTGTGATTAAAAGGTAATAAAAAGTAATGGCAATTGTAAAATTATTTTCTTGGGATGGAAATGATATTGCATTTTAATTAATATATACCAAACAAAGACTTCGCCCCTCCTTGGTTTGATCAAAATTCAAAGTTTTACTAGATTCTAATAAAATTTAATAAAATGCGTGTTTGAAGGTTGTGGATCTCATGAAATGTATAGTTGAAAATTAGTTTGAAAATGGATGCTAAACACGGGTTTAATATTATTAGAATTATGACATGATACCTAGGAGGAGTATTTAAGCATTTTTCACAAGTATTAACCTTGAATTATTGATTTATAATTTTACCTTGAGAAAAACACCTTTTCATAACATTAACTACTTATTTTATTTAATAAACGATTTTTTTCTTGTGTTTCTGAATTTTTACGACATGCATTGTGTTCAAAATCTTCAGCCTTTTACTCGAACTCCATAAGAAAATGGGTTTTAAGCAAATTATAATTAGAAATCTTAAGTTTCTTTTTTATTTGAAAGAAATTAATTACGTTTTAAACAAAATATACTTCTATGCTTTTCATAATTGAATCTACACACATGCACACTTACTTTGGTCAACTTATGGTCTATTTATATTTCCTTTCAAAAAATTAGTTTGCCACAATTTTTTTTTTTTTGGGGTTATTTTCCCAAATTACTACATTATTTTAAAACTAGATATCCGATATCAATTCCTATAAGTAAGTTAAATTCTTTGTTTCCTTAAGAAATAATATGATCTAATTTTAAAATGGAGAATAGTTTGAAGAAATTCATATTTCATCATAGGTTGGATTCCTCATCTCTTAGACATGGTTTGTTTTATAGGGAAAAAAAAAAAAATCATAGAACTATCGATAGAAAAAAAAAAGAGAAAAAAAAAGGAAAAAAGAGGATAAATTTTGTGGGATTTTAGGCTTGATCGTATTCTATTATAAGATGAATAAAAGCTGATTGCAAAATAGAAATATCCTCTTCTTTCAAGAATGTGTAGACATTTTGTTTTATACGAATCTCTTACTATTTATGCACATTTTTCTTTAGTCACACCACATTATATCATTTATATAAATAGAAATATTTATGTGTTCTTGTTAACGATGATTATACTTTTCGATGCTGGGGTTGACTAATTCTTAAATAGAAAAAAAGCATTTTTGAATTTTTTTTTACAAAGTTTGCATGAACAAACTTACAATTTACCCAAAAAAAAAATAAAAAAAATCGAAAATTTGCAAATTTACCTGGTTATTAATACAATAATTTGACCCAAATTGTAATTATTATTTGTTAAGTACATGTAAAAATAGAAGGATCCAGGATGGATAGGTCGTCGGTCCGCTGGCGGCTGATACATGAGCCCCTGAACTTTCATTGAATTTACTGTTTGTGCCAAATAAGCTGTTCTGATAAAAATGAAAAATAAAAAATAAAGAAAAAATTGTGAAACAAAGAAAAAGTTTGTTGAAAGAAAGGACAGGAAGGAAAAGGTAAAAGATAGTTGCAGAAATTAGAGAGAGAAAGAGAGACAGAGAGGAGTATAGAGAAGAGACTTTTTGGGTCTACAATTTCATTGCCGAATTTCACTGTTTTTGCACAGATCTGTTGTTAGTGTAAGTTGTACGCGTTTTCTGATTTATTTTTAATCTATTATGGGTTATTCTTGAAAACTCGCCAGAATTACTACTAAGCTGTCCAAATCGGTCAATTCTGTTGAAGAAGTTCATTTCTACGAATATTTGTGAGATAAAAGGCATCGAAGTTGGGTTTTTGAAGATGAAATTATGTAATCCATAAGGTACCTTTTTTTTTTTTTTTAATAAATTAGTTTGTGTGGATGTTTGAATTGATCTTTGTTATTCCACTTGTTGAATTCTGCACTGATTATGCTCATAAACTGAACTTTATGCTTAATTCCGGCAAAAATTAGTCAAAAGGGTTGAGAAAAAATAATTGAAGGACCTCGTGTTATTGATTTTCTATTGATAAATTACCTTTGAAGAGAACTAATTTATTAAGGATTTCTTTACAAATCTGGAACTTTTGCGCTGACAATTTTTATATGCTTCTGAGTTTTGGCTATTATACTAGGTTAGTTTCTAAGTTTTTCTCATTTTCCCATGGTGCAGATTCGTGTTTTTATTTTTTCCTTTGTTGGGGTTATTTAAGTTTGTGTTTTGGAGAGATGGAAGAGGTAGGTGCACAAGTAGCTTCACCAATACTCATCCAGCAATCACTCGCTGGAAGGTTTTGCGACGCGCGCCCAATGGCCAAGAAACGCAATCTGCCTTTTCAGTCGGCAAGTTTTCCGCATCAGATTCCTTTGGATAACTGGAATCCTACGTCTTGGGATTGGGATAGTGCCAGGTTTGTTGCTAGACCTTCGCAATCTGATGTAGTCCGGGGCGGAAGTGCTACTCCGGCTCCATTGAAGGTGTCAACTCATAAAGGTGTACAAAATAACACAGCTGATCCTAAGAATGCTGTCCCCGTTGAAGATGGAAATGATAATGAAAATCTTAGATTGAAGCTTGGAGCTGACGGAGATGGAGATGGAAGAAATGGTGTCTTGACTTTGGTAGAGGAGCCACAACTGGTGTCGAGGCCTAATAAAAGAGTCAGATCTGGATCGCCTTCTGGTGCTAGCTATCCTATGTGTCAAGTGGATAATTGTAAGGAAGATCTATCTATGGCCAAGGACTATCACCGCCGGCATAAGGTGTGTGAGGTTCATAGCAAAGCCAGCAAAGCCTTGGTTGGGAAACAGATGCAAAGATTCTGCCAGCAGTGCAGCAGGTTGGTGTTTTTGACTATCAGCTCTGCTAAGTTAATACCTAATTTCATCCTGTGTGATTGTTGTGTTTGATTCCCATACTATAAGTTGGCCTAATTTATTTTGGGAGAAGGATTATTTTTATGCTGCTATTAGTATGTCAAATTTGTTTAGCATTTGATTGCTTTCACAGGTGCATGATACGACAATGTTTTATCAACATTTCTTTTTCTTTGTCAGGTTCCACCCCCTTTCGGAATTTGATGAGGGAAAGAGAAGCTGTAGGCGTAGACTCGCTGGGCACAACAGGAGGAGGAGAAAAACTCAACCAGATGATGCTACTTCACGGTTGTTAGTTCCTGAAAACCATGACCAGAGTGGAAACTCTGATCTGGATATTGTCAATTTGTTGGCAGTTCTAGCTCGTGCACAAGGTATAACTAGCTAAGCATATTGATTCGGTGCATTGGTGCTCTGGCTGTGGCACCCATTTGTTTCTTGGAGGGTGGGGGTCATTTCTAGGTCTTGCTCTATAAATTTTTTCCATTGGGAAAAAATGAACTTTTTGTGGATTTGTGATATATGAGTAGCAGCACATGTGCATGAGAACTCGTGCCATCAAATGCACATAAGCATTTATATACCTTCATTCTCTCGCATCTTGGACACATCTGAGATTTTGCTAAATATGTTTACTTATGATTCTAGGGAATACCGAGGACAGGAGCAGCAAAATCTCATATGTACCTGATAAAGATCAGCTCATACAATTACTTAGTAAAATAAACTCTCTGCCCTTGCCTTCAAACTTAGCAGCCCAATTGCCTGTTATGGGAGGTTTGGACGGAAGGATTCCGAACCTTATATCCTCTGGAAATATGAATCGATTGAATGGGAATGTTTCTTTGCCATCAACGAAGGACTTGTTGGCTGTTCTTTCAGAAAATCCAGCAGCAGCACCCTCTTCTGATGTAATTGAAATTCAATCTCAACCAAGCAGCGATGGAAGCGACTCTGAGAAAAGTAAGTCAGCGTTTGTTGAACAAGCTACATCTCTCCATTTGCAAAAAAGACCTACTTTGGCGTTTCCCTCAGTTGGAGGAGAGAGAAGTAGTACAAGTTACCATTCTCCTGTGGCTGATTCAGATTGCTATGTTCAAGAGACATGTCCAAATTTGAAGTTACAACTCTATAATTCTTCACCTGAAGATGATAGCTTAAGAAAATTACCATCTGGTAGAAACTATTTCTCATCTGACAGTAGCAATCCTTCACAAGAGAGGTCTCCTTCATCTTCACCACCCGTTGTACATGACCTGTTCCCAATGCATACTTCAAGAGAACCTATGAAGCCTGATAGCGTGTCTAATAGTGAAGTCAATACCATGTATGCAAAAGCAACTACAGTCAACCAGTGCAATACTTCTCTTCAACTTTTTGGAGCCTCGAAAAGAGCTGCCGAAAACGGCTCAATTCAGAGTTTTCCTCACCAAGCAGGGTATACATCTTCTTCTGGGTCTGATCATTCACCATCAAGTTTGAATTCTGGTGCTCAGGTACTTGATAACCACTCCCTTGTTTTTTATTTTTATTTTATATATATATATTTTTTTTATCATAAACCATATCTTAGTTGTGTTTACCTTGGATACACTTCACTGGATATATTTTGACGTGTAGGATCGTAATGGCCGAATTGTTTTTAAACTATTTGACAAGGATCCCAGTCATTTGCCTGGGTCGTTGAGAGCGCAGGTGAGATATTGATGCTTGACTTTTAGATTGTTCTCCTTAATTTTACTGGATACCTCATGGTTTACTTTGCCTCATGTTTCAGATATACAATTGGCTTTCTAACAGTCCTTCAGAAATGGAAAGCTATATTAGGCCTGGTTGCATTGTTCTATCTGTGTATTTATCAATGTCCTCCTACGCCTGGGATCGAGTGAGTGCTGTTCTATAAAATATTTTAGCTTTACCTACATAGCTTTCCAATGACCATCTTTTGGACCTGTGTGTTTTTGCAGCTTGAAGGAAAGCTCCTTGATTATGTGAAGTCTTTGGTCAATGATATTAACACCGACTTCTGGAGAAATGGAAGATTTTTGGTTCACACAGATGAACAAATGGCTTCCTATAAAGATGGTATTCTTCTTCATCTTTTTTACTAATTTCTCGTGTGTCTCTCGACGTGCTCGCACTTGCAAACATGCACGCGCACCCCCCTAGACATTAAAATCTTAATGAGATTTCTTGTCTTAACTTCTCTTCCTTGCGGCAAATCAATCTCAGGAAAGATTCATCTTTGCAAGTCCTGGAGAGCCTGGAATACCCCAGAATTGATCTTAGTCTCACCTGTGGCAGTTGTTGGTGGGCAAGAGGCCTCTCTTCTTTTGAAGGGGAAAAATTTGACTATTCCTGGCACTAAGTATGTGTCTGATATTTTGTTCACTTGAAATTGAACCCTTTCATATATTGGGATGTTCTTTCCTCAAGAATTTTTCTTTAATTATTATCCAGGATATATTGTACGCATACAACTGGGTACAATATGAAAGAATTTCCGGCAGTGGCATGTCAAAAAACTGTATATGACGAGATAATCTTGGATAGCTTTAAAATTCATGGAGCATCATCTAGTGTGCTCGGCCGCTGTTTCATTGAGGTAGCATTTTCTTAGAGAGTAATCTCTTCTGTAATCTAGTACTAAATTTCAAATTGTTAACATGTATATGTGGGAACAGGTTGAAAATGGTTCGAGAGGTACGAGTTTTCCGATAATCATAGCAGATAATACCATCTGTCAAGAATTGAGACTTCTTGAGTCTGTAATCAATGAAGGTGCTGAATTGCATGATGTTATTTCATCTGATTACATTCAGAATCCAGATAGGCCCAGGACTAGGGAAGAAGTTCTCCATTTTTTGGATGAACTTGGCTGGCTTTTCCAGAGAAAATACAACTCTTCCTTGTTTGAGAGCCCAGATTATAGGCTTAGTCGGTTCACATTTCTTCTTACATTTTCTGTTGAACACGACTTTTGTGCTTTGACCAAAACGCTCCTGGACATTCTGCGAGAAATAAACTTTGGTCGTGAAGAGCTAGCAAGGGAGTCTCTGGAGATGCTATCGAAAATCCACCTGTTAAACAGGGCCATCAATAGGAGGTGTAGGAGAATGGTTGATTTGCTTATTCATTACTCCATTAGTGACTCTACTGATTCCTCCATGAAGTATATTTTTCTACCTAATTTGGCTGGACCTGGTGGTATCACACCTTTGCATTTGGCTGCTTCTACATTGGGTTCAGATGATATGGTTGATGCTCTGACGAGCGACCCGCAGGAGGTACTAATTTCCTCTAAAAACTCCTATTTGACTTTTTCAATCTGAGGTTTGAAAATCCCGTAAGAATGTTATAAATAGTTCACTTGTACAATTCCATTTTCGTGACGGGTTGAAGCAACTGAAAATGCTTTATAACATCATGCTGCAGTCTAAAAATTTTTTGGCCTCTGGTGTAGGGGTGGGGATTCACATGTTTTCATCTACTTTGCAAGTTTTGATCCTTACATTTTTGTATTGCATCTCTAGATTGGGTTGCATTGCTGGAAATCGGTTCTCGATGCAAATGGGATGTCTCCCTATGCATATGCCTTGATGAGGAACAACCATTCCTATAACACGCTTGTCGCTCAGAAGCTTGCAGATAAAAAGAATGACCAAGTTTCTGTATCAATTGGAAATGAGATTGAGCAATTCGTCATGGAAGTTGATCGTGGTCACAAGAATACTTTCCATATCAACCAAGGACAAAAATCTTGTTCCAGGTGTGCAGCTGCAGCAGGTAGATACAGCGGAAAGTTTCCAGGTTCACAGGGATTGCTTCAGCGTCCATACATTCATTCGATGCTCGCCATTGCTGCTGTATGCGTTTGTGTCTGTCTGTTCTTTAGAGGGGCGCCAGATATTGGTTCAGTTGCCCCATTCAAGTGGGAGAACTTGGGTTATGGTCCATTGTAGTCTCTATTTAACAGGAAAAGTGACCACGTTGTAAGGACGATCAAACAAGAGAGGAGGAGATATATTGGCAGCGGGTGTACCACTTCACACAGTTACTTCCTTCAAAAATGAAGACTAATCAGTGATAGTGGTATGAATTAATACCACAATTCAGAATTATTACGAGCTAAGCCTTGACAAATAGCTCGTGATCTATCTGGATGCAAAGCTGCTGCTCATACTCAAACCTTATTAAGCGTAATTTATAGTAAGAGATGGACTCAAGGACGTGGGGTTATGCGAGTTAACGTTTGTTATGACACGTTTCAGTGGCAGTACTTAAGAGGAAATCGTTTTACACTTTCTTTTTTGATTGAAGCACTTGACCTATACCATGGATATTGTACTCAATGTGAGGTGGTTTTATTACTGTAAAGAATCAGTAGGTAATTAGAAATTGCCATGTTTTATAGCTGAATAGAGATCTGTTTTTCACATCATATCTATAGTAAAAGATATCTGGTTGTCTATTCTAAGCAAGTTTTTTCTTTCATTTATTGGTGTGTTTACATGGTAAGTAAATCCATAAGTTCATAACCATATCAGCTAATTCTTTGATTTCTACTAGTAAAAGGGATTTTAAACTAAGAAGTAGACCCAAGAAGCTTAAAAAGGAGGTATTTTGGGCAATTGCAACAATTGCAGCTTAAGTGGAAGGCAAAGAACCTCAAGCCATTAGTGAGATACTACTCTGGAAGAACATCGAAGTGGAAAATAATTCCCTGAATGAACGATCATAAGCAAATAATATTGACATAGAAGACGAATTATGCTCAGGATCTAATCAAATTGTGTTCTATTACTCAGTGCGCAGAGATTACTCTTCAATGCTGTTATACTTGCTCATAGAAAAAATTTATGCCCCAATTTGGTGAAAAAGTTTTGGATTTTTGTAAATAATATTTTATTGTGTGAATGTTTGTTAAAACTGATCCCGTAAAAAAAAAGATTGAAAAGAATGGGAATCAAACGATGGGCTAAAGTTATGCGTCCCCTAAGTAATCCTTGTATATTTATTTGTTCGGAAACATGAGAATCAGATGAATCTGTGACATTTAATCTATCAACACGCTGATCATACTATTTCGATTCTAAAGTTACACACTTGCATACTTGCCACGTTGAATTGGATTTAAGAAAATGAAAATTGAAATTTTAAATAATATCTTAAAACATGCTTAGTCATGCAGCTTGGCCATGGACGGCTTGAATCAATTATTCTCCATTCTTGATCTTCTGCCACGCCTCCCTCCTGTGATACTGTCTACAAGGTATTCACCCACACCATTTCCAACTCCGTCAACAAACCCTCCTACGAATTTAATAACCATTTGAGAAGCAATCCGGGTTGTTTTTCCGAACGTCGGCTTTTCCGGGGGAGAGATACCGTTGGCATGGAGCCCATTAATCAAATCCTTTGCACAAACTGCATGGAGATGGTAACCACAAACATTGCAACGATATATTCGACCTGACCTCCTCCTCTTGCACTTACTGCAAAGAATCCCAGAATCTGTACCTGATGCGGTTGTGTTCACTGGTGGCAACAGTTTCAATGTATGTGGATGCACCGGAAAGTTCATTTCAGTCGAAAGCTTTGCGCAGCACGGGTGCATCTGGAAACTGCAAGCCCTGCATCTGAAAGTGAACCCTTTTGTTGATTTGTCACAGACATCACACTTTGGCCATGAAATTCCGGCGTTTGCTGACAGTTACAACTCCATGTTATTTTCAAGATTAGATGATAACAGTACTTGCATAGAAAAGATAAACAAAAATCAGTGTCAAGGCCTTTTCTAAATCAGGGGCGGGTCGTTACCTTGTTTTGGTTTAGAGTTGAACACGAGCTGGTGTTGGCCGTGGAGGGGATGGTTTTCTAACACTGGAGGCGATGATGTGCAGAAATCGTGGAGCTGAAAATCACATTGCTGGCACGAAAATCTCTTGCCGGCTCCATACTCCTTGCAGCCGGCGCATGTAAAGAGTTCAGGCGAATCGACTTTTATCAAGGGGTGTTTTGAGTGAGTGTAGTGAGTTATTTCTTCTACAATTTCAGGCTGGGGTGAGGTTGGAAATCCTATCTGGGAATTCTTGTTCTTGTCCATTGAGGCAGAGGATTTCACCAGGGGATGCAATGGTTTCTCAAACTATGGTGCAATTTGGGAACAAGGGAATATTATTTATGCTGGCTAAAAGCGATCACTTTTTAAGCACCATTTCAAACAGGAGAGTGGAAAGAGAGAAGATTTCAAGTTTTCTAAGTATCAAGCTTTTTGGAATACACTTTAAATTCACGAGTTATTTTTGTTACCGTGTTGAAGGGTTTTGTACATGGAATTAGAGTAAGTTAATCAATATTATTGATTAATCTTGTCACGTATGATGTGCCTTAATCATGGACACATGATATGTACCCTTTTGAGATGCATGGTCGAATAGGATTCGTGTGTGTTGAGTGTAATAAATGTGCCTCGTAGATTTTACACGTGTACTAGGAAAAGGGAAATCTCAAAAATCCACGTTGAAATCAAGAAAGAATAAATCTGTTTCAATGTGATTTACTTGTTTATCCAACCTTTTCAGTCTAATAATTCTGTTATTGGCCAAACAACTATCATTAGAGGCCAGCTGGGGTCATAAAATTTGACAATTCCAACAAAATGAAGCCAATGAAGATCCAAATGTACAAGAAAAACTCACCCTTTTCTATACTTAACTAAGGATGAAAAGAATCAAAACACTGTAGGAGGGTTCTTATTCGATTTAAAGTGGAAAACCAAGAAAATGTTGCAGACTTTTTGGGTGTTAAAAGATTCATAAAAAAAGGGGGATCGTATTGTCACTCATTTTCCATGCTATGAGTTGTAAAGCAATTTAGGAAGGGAAACACGTTTTATGATTAATCTTTTATCGTACGCAATTAAAAATTGGCTAATGATTATAAATTGATATAATCGACGAATCACTTTTTACCAACACCACATGTCTTATCACTTATTCGCCATATATTTCTATCAATTTATCATTTAAACCATTTATAAACACTTTCCAAATAAGTGTCCATTATGCATCTTTTCACGTCTGCAAAAATGGAGACGTTCCAATGTATAAACCAAAATTTTAAGGAAGAGTTTCAAAATCTATATAAAAAGTTAAACCATTTCTCACGATTATGTATTAAGAACACAATATTAAATTAGAACCCTAGAATTTGATCACACGCTTTCAACTCCAAACAAATGGCATATCAATAGTTGATGCAATTACCAAAGTCATTGGAATGCAGAATTTTAGATTGAAACGAATGGCAATTTAAAATAAAATCCACAATAAGAGTATCCAATGATTTCCTTCCATGATTTCCCGCCCATGACAGCTGCAAAATATAATAGAGAAAACAAAGAAGACAATGGATCATATGAATATGAGAAAGCACCATTATCAAATAATCTTATATGTAATTCATGATATAGGCAACGATTGAACAAACTAAATGACGAATCCCTTCATGCATATAGACTAATAGCCGTTATGAATTGAATCCATGTTAAATAAACATACCAAATTCAAAAAGATCAAACATTTTCATATTTGAAATTTCCACCATAGAGTTATATTCAATTGCATTGAATATCGTATTTAAATTCTAAGCCATAGCCATATGAGCATATGACTTATTGTATATGATATGGAAATTCAGATTAGGATATAAAAGGCAAAAAAAAATAAAAATAAAAATAAAAATAAATAAATAAATAAAAAATCATCTCAAGATTGTTGGGGATTTTACACTGATTATACGTGCGCGCGCCCACACATCCTTAAAAATATTACCGATAATATGTGCATACATATTATTCAATATATCTTCTATACAAGCATGAAATTGGCTCATAAAATTTGACAATTCCAACAAAATGAAGCCAATGAAGATCCAAATGTACAAGAAAAGCTCACCCTTTTCTATAATTAACTAAGGATGAAAGGAATCAAAACACTGTAGGAGGGTTCATATTCGATTTAAACTGGAAAACCAAGAAAATGTTGCAGACTTTTTGGCCGTTAAAAGATTCATAAAAAAAGGGGGATTGTATTGTCATTCATTTTCCATGCTATGAGTTGTAAAGCAAATTAGGAAGGGAAACATGTTTTATGATTAATCTTTTATCGTACGCAACTAAAAATTGGCTAATGATTATAAATTGATATAATCGACGAATCACTTTTTATCAACACCACATGTCTTATCACTTATTCGTCATGTATTTCTATCAATTTATTGTTTAAACCATTTATAAACACTTTCCAAAGAAGCGTCCATTATGCATCTTTTCATGTCTGCAAAAATGGAGACGTCCAATGTATAAACCAAAATTTTAAGGAAGAGTTTCACAATCTATATAAAAAGTTAAGCTATTTCTCACAATTATGTTTTAAGAACACAATATTTAATTAGAACCCTATAATTTGATAACACGCTTTCAGCTCCAAATAAATGGCATATCAATAGTTGATGCAATTACCAAAGTCATTGGAATGCAGAATTTTAGATTGAAACGAATGGCAATTTAAAATAAAATCCACAATAAGAGTATCCAGTGATTTCCTTCCATGATTTCCCTCCCATGACAGCTGCAAAATATAATAGAGAAAACAAAGAAGACAATGGATCATATGAATATGAGAAAGCACCATTATCAAATAATCTTATATGTAATTCATGATATAGGCAACGATTGAACAAACTAAATGACGAATCCCTTCATGCATATAGACTAATAGCCGTTATGAATTGAATCCATGTTAAATAAACACACCAAATTCAAAAAGATCAAACATTTTCATATTTGAAATTTCCACCATAGAGTTATATTCAATTGCATTGAATATCGTATTTAAATTCTAAGCCATAGCCATATGAGCATATGACTTATTGTATATGATATGGAAATTCAGATTAGGATATAAAAGGCAAAAAAAAAATAAAAAAAAAATAAAAATAAATAAATAAATAAAAAATCATCTCAAGATTGTTGGGGATTTTACACTGATTATACGTGTGCGCGCACACACACATCCTTAACAATGTTACCGATAATATGTGCATACATATTATTCAATATATCTTCTATACAAGCATGAAATTGAATATAGAATCGACTCAAGAAACCAAGGATATATATGTAGATGAATTCGTGCCCTTCGATACTTTGATGAAAGTCATTCTTCAATTAAAAACTTTTCATATAAAAATAAGAAAAGTAGTATTTCTAAAATCAAATACAATGTAATGAAATTAGAAAGAAGAAAGAGGAGATGCAAGTGTACGATTGGTCGAGGCAAGTGAATCACCCTTTCCATAAGACGAATTTATACCACATATCCTATTTTGACACCAAGAAATGAGGTTTTTCTAGAAATAATATTTTTTTCCCTGTTGGGCCATCCTGGACTTGAACCAGAGACCTTGCCCAACTCCAATATGATCCCCATGCTCCGTTAGCCCATACTACTCCAGAAAGTATCCTTATGCCCCGCATTTATGCTAACGATTTTCCGACAATCATTCTCAAGATAAAACGATAACGTCTAACCATAGGGACACTCCAAATGGTTTAGACCAACGAACTTGAATGGAGTTTCCTTTTTTATCATAACCGTGACTTTGAGACAAAGGAATCACTTCTACAAAGTGTTTTTAGCTAAAACCAAAGTACAAACATGGAATGGAATGAATGATAAATGTCCTAGTGGTTCTTTATATAGAAGGTGATGGGGTGTGGTTGATCAGCATTTTTCATGAAGGACCAACTCGTTCCACCGCTCACCTACCGCCCATGTGGCGCTTGTGCAGCGCAATGCAGTGTGCTATTGTTCGTCTGGCAATGGCCTACCACTCTAGCAGTGGCCTCATATGCTGAATTCTGATTTTTCTTTCAAACTTTGGATTACAATTTCTCATTTATCATGAATTGGTTTTTAGATTTCAAATACATTACAGTGACTTACTCGATGAATAGAATAAGTTAATCTTCGTACTTTCGTAATTTGACTATTAGATTAAGTCTGAATATTTGGCCGAAATTGACACAAAGTCACTTTTCAATGTTCATACTTAACCAAAATTTCATTTCTTAAACCAAATTCTAACAGTTCTCACATATCTCCTTCATTATACATGTGAAGAATTCGACGAACTTTATTAACTGCTCGAACTATCTCATGTCATTTGTAGGTTAGGTATTGAAGGGCTTGTGCAAGACTTCTAAACTTCTATTTGTTTGTGAATCTAAGATTCCATATTGTGATTACAAACTAGAAAATTTAATATTTGGAACATTAATTTACAATCTGCAACACAAGGCTAATTTTTCATACCTAAACAATTGGAGCAAAAGTCCATATTACTATAGATTTAATGCTCCATGTGCATAAACAGATACTGAAATTCATAATTTATGTCTATTCAACTCACTGTATGCTAGTTTAATCTGGTTGAAAAATGCGACTTAATACAGTCATAAAAATTTATGGTATTGTTGGAGACCGTTCTTGTATAGTATGAATATTTGCTAAAATGCTTGATTTATATTCAATGCTTAATTGTATCCACATAGCTCTCTCCTTTTTCTAATTGCCATTTCTTAGATGCTAAAATACTAGATATCATGTTTCTGGTGTGCTAGATTTTGATGTTTGCATAGGCAATTTCATTGTTAATGCTGTGATGGAAGAAGTCAGAGACAGGCAAATTTCTAAATTTATTATGCAATCTTTGGATAGTTTATTCTATGTATCATCTTTTTCTACATTTTCTTGAAGCTATCGCTTTGACAACTCATTTATATTTAAATTGCAACACTGTTAATCAATTTTGTAATTTTTCAAAAGGGACAACATGAATTTAGTGAGCTTGAGTTGTTTTTAGATTTGGTCTATTTGGTGAACAACTATCACTGGAGGCTTTAGCAGCATTCGAGGTATGTTAACTACTAGTTTCTCAGTAGAGTGACTTGACCACTTATAAACATGGCAAATTTTACACACCTCACAAGAAACCTAGAATTGAAATTTAGGACGAGGAGGAGGGGTATTTTATGTCACCAACTCAATGTAATAACTATGTTGCAGCATAAATTAAATCATACACCACTTCTTTGTGGATATACTTGTCCATTAGTTATATGTCTTAGGAGTAATATTTCACTTTTTAACTTCTTTTTTCGTCTTTTTGGTGCAAAAATTGTTGATTTAAATTGTTTGGCATTGGAATTAACTTGATGAATTGATCTGGATTTACTTGTGGATCAAGCACAAT